TTCTGATCTTAGTTACGTAAATATCCAGGGTTCTGTTTTTTTGATTTTTCAAATGGAAATTATAAAATGTTTCTATGTTTAACAACTGTAGTTGTGCCTTAGTGTTAAGAACTCTCAACATGCGAGTGTGCTGTATAGTGTTTGAGGAGAATGCTAGAGAGCCTGCCTTTTGGTCTAAGTTTGGCAAGATTAAGAGCTCATTTCTTTTAAGGTTCCTGAAAATAAGGAGGAATCAGTACTTTTCAGAAACCTTGTTTTGTACATTGTTTACATTTAACTGGAAAGTGCTAGGTAGCTTATGCAAAGGACTTCTCATCAGAATCCTTGAGAAAAATACTCTTTAGTAGTCTCTCTTCTCTTTCTCCCACCAGGTCTAGCTTTCAGTTTCTGACTATTTTTTCTTTTGTTTTCCATCATGCCTGTACTAGCTAATGGCGTAGGAGCACAGTACTTAAAACACAGTTAGAGGAGTGTTCACTTTAATTTTGTCAAACAGGACACAGGATACTAATTTTTTAAGGCAGACTTAACACCCACCCCCACCATTTAGCGCCATTTTTGAAAGCTTCAAGTAAAGGCTGTTTTTAGATTAATGCTGCCATCAAAATTCTTGATTGGTACAATTATTAGGTTCCTCTATAGGAGGCAGATCTATATTTAGGCACGTGTTTTTTTAGATGCATCTTTGTTTCATTATGATAGTAAAGAGGAAAACTGACATTTTAAATACTCAAACAGTGCTAAGATTGTTACAGTTGTATAATACAAACAATCAACCATTTTAAATCTGATATTTAAATATGTTTAAAGAGCTTTTCATGGTCATCAAGAAGAGTCACGTGCTTAGAACAAGTCCAGTTAGGTCAGGTTGCTCAGGGTCTTGTCCAGTTGAGTTTTGAGCATCTCTGGTGATATTTCTGTCTTTGTGAAATGTGTTTTCTGGATTATCCTGGAAGCCTATGTTTATTTCAGTCCAGCTGAAGAAAACATTCTTACTTGATTAAATTGGTTTGTTCCTGCTAAGTGCCATTTCTTTGGTTAGTAGTGAAAATCAGATCTTTTATTTTCTTAGTTTCTCACCAAACTGGACAAGGAGTCTTGAGATTCTACTAAAGAGTGAAACATATATTTTTCTTCCTTTTTTTTTTGTGTGTTTGTGTATGTGACTTTTCTTATTTGTGACTTCACTATTGAGCTTAAAAGACTTTGGTTTAAGGTCAGTAAATTCAAATCTTACCTTTGAATATCTGCTGACTCATTAATCCATTTTTCCCTAATCCTGGAGGATTAAAGCAAGATAGAAAATGAGTATTCTTAGTGATAACGTTGAAGACGAATGATATATGCTTAGATGTAGTTATTTAGTACTGGAATGTCACAACAAAAACTGACAGCTCTGGTTTACTAGTAAACAACCGGTATATGTACTATTTCCATGGGTTTTGTTACCCTTTCACTTCTCAAAACAGGATCACTAAAATGAGCAAGCAAAAAAATGTATTACAAGTGTGTTGGTGTTCTAAACTGTTTTCTTCTAATGCTTGTAAGCTCTTAGGGCTTTGAGGTCTTGTCAGCTTGGTGCTGGCAGAGTATTAAAATGAAGGATGATATTTTCAGATGCAGATAATTTGAGTTTAATGTTAGCTCATCAGTGGTTCTTTTTAATAACATTTCTGAGCATCTGCATTTAATTATTCCCAGTAAAGAAGACGGCAAGACTAAAGATAATGTGGAAATATGGCTTTTGTGGTATTACAAACGTACCTGAACAGGAGAGGCACAGACTTGGAACATTTTCAGGTCTGATATCTCAAAAGAGACGTGAAAACAGGGATATGGACTAAGGTTACTGAATAAACTGTGTCATAAGTCCTATTCAGTACAAATACAGTTGTGATGGGAATGACAGGATGACAGAGTATTGGTGACTTAAACTCAACCAAATCTCATGGTGATAAGCTAATTTACAGCATTGGAGTAGTGTATATAATAAGAGGTCTTGAACTTGGAATTGGGGGGGGGGAGCTCTACATGATTTGAAACAATTACACAAATTGTAATTCTGTCATAGGCTAGAAACTGAGTGGTGGTATTGAGGATTCAGGAGCTAGAGTTTCAGTAGCACAAACAGAACTATTGAGTACAGGAAGATTTCTCCCTAGCCAGTGAACTATGGTACCCCTATTTTGAGTTGGTTTAGAATCCTTAAATATCTACTAGTCTTGATTTGTATGCTATTATTTCATTACAAACACTCATTTAAAATTTGTTTTCTATCAGCATGTTTTTTCTTTTTAACCTTTTTTTTTCTGACATGGTAGTGAAATTGTGTAACATGCATTGTCTCACAACATCAAACAGAATTCAGGAAGATAAGACTAACTTGCCATACTGTTTTTAAAGTTATAAAAATAGGAAGAAAAATGTTGTAGCTCTGCTAATAGTCAGAGAGAGTCTTCTGTCTTAAAGTCGTTCTCCCTACCTCTAAAGAGCAAACAAAAAAACAACGAATGGTTAATAACCTTCCAGTTTCAAATACTAATTTGAAGTATGGAGTGTTACATGAAGTTGTAACACTTGCATGCCTGTATTTTCTTTAGTCAAGTAAATTAATAATCACTATGTGAAATGTAATTACACTTTCTAATGCTGTTATTGTTTGATGTAAATGCTAGCATGACAGTATTTGGATTGGAAGATGACAGTTTTGTGGAAAAAATTTTGATCTCTGGGAATCACCACATGCAGGTGTTTCTGCAGTGTGTTTTTCCCTTCCAGAATCATATTGCATCTGACAGATCAGTAATAAATTGTACCCATATTCCATGTGTTGTTGATCTCCAAGCCATGTTTAGATCAACTAAAAGTATATCTCTAGGATCAGGTCTTGCATGTATGATTTTAATTTTATACATTGACTTCTGACTTTTACATTGACTAATTACTTAAAGTTTCTGTTGTGTGTTGTGCTTTGTAGTTTGTGGGTGTGGTATGTTTTTTTTTTTTTCTTAGACCATACTAAAGCATTACCAAAAAAAATAGACAGGAAACTTTTTACATATTGCTAGTTAGTAGAACAGATCTCTTGTCACATTTTTTTCTTTTACCTTTGTGTTTACCTTTGTGATTTCACTTCTAAATATGATATTGGATCTCTGAGGAGGGGAAAAAGACACAGCAAACAAAACAACATGAATCATCATTTTAAATAAAATACTGAGGTGAAGTAGTTCAAGTGTAAATTTCTCAGCTAATCTTTGCACAAGATGCATGCTGAATTTGAAATACAAAGTTTGAACATAAATATGATTGCACTGGATCAAATAAAAGTTCCATCTGTTCTAGCAGCATGCCTCTGGTGGTAACTGATATTGAATGCTTAGAGAGAAGTGCAAGAACAAGGCAAACACGATGTTAATTCTGTTTGGCGGCCCTACTGCAGTTTAAATGTAATCTAAAAGTAGCATTTTTTTTCCTTCTGGTCATGATTTAAACTTGTGAGATACGTTCTTACATCTAATGGCTTCCTCTCCAAACTAGCTTTTTTCTCAAACTCTTCTGTTCTGAACTTCTAATATACTGATTTTAAATGGTCTTTGTACAGTCAGTAAAGACTTAGCTGCTGCTTTGTTTCTTTTTAAACAGAGTTAACTTCTTCATATTTTTGTAGTTCCCCTTTCAAATGTAACCTTTGTAATGTTGTACTTCTCACTTCTGTTTCTGTAGAGATAGCGAATCAAAATACCCTGTGATTCATAAGCGATCATTGATAGCGTCTTTATTTTGGTTTGCACATAACACCCCTCAATTGAATGTTTTCCCATCTAAATCGGTTAAGCAAAGAATTCCTTTTTCTCACTTCTAGAGGGGTTGTCACCTTAAATTGTGTGCAATTCTATACTTAGCAGCTTTCCTTGCTTCTTCAGTCTATTAACCCATGTAAAACCATTCTTGTTTAAAGTGCCAGCAAGCTGCTTCAGTTTTAATTTAGGAAATCTACCCTTTCATCCACTAGCCTGCGCTAGTGTGTGGAGTTGCTCTGCCACAGGTGCATATCTTTGCATTTGCCTTTACTAAACCAGATGAGGTGTGTGCCAGCTGAGGTCACTCTGGTTGGCCTCCCAACCATCCAGCATGTGAGTTGCCCCTTTTCTCCCGTTGTCTTGGGGGTGTTCATGTGCTTAGAGCAGATTCCATCTTGCTTTCCAAACAATCTAAACAGTACTGAATCTAATGTTGACCCCTGAGAAATGCCACTGGTAGTTGGTTTGCTGGTTCAAGCTGTTAAGCTCTCTTCTTTGAACCTGACAGTGACTTCTAGCCACTTTTCCAGTCACTTTCAAATCCACTTCTTTGGTTTAGTAGAACAAAAGAAACTGTTCTGATGATATGATGGGAGCTAAGCAGAAACAGTTATTTTTTGCAAGTTCTTAAAAACTAAGAACTAAGGCCTGAAATAGCAAGAGATCTGCATTGCTGTTTTGTTAAAAGACTCTGTTCAGCATTTTTGAGAAACCACATCCTTTGGAACTATCCTAACTTGGGAACTAGAGTTACATTCAGAAAAAGTAGATGTTCTTTCTAAAGTAAATCTCTTGCTTTCAAGATAGTTACATGAACTTTAATGACACAGGTTTGATAGTTAATTGATAATTTCCAGGATTCAAGGTCATATTCCACTTGAAATTTTTTAGGCTAATAGAAGAGGGACAAACAGTATTTTGTTTCCTTTTAGGTGTTCTTAATTATTGGTAATACATCTTTAATTTCCTGTCATTTTTCTGTTTTCTGTTTAAGTGCATATCAAATAACACTATTTTAGTATTTTAAATCTTTTTGGTAAATTAATTATATACTGTAGCATCTGGTAAAACTGAATTACTTTACGCTTACTTTACACCTTAATTTTTAGGACCATGACAAGAATAACAGTGGGTATTTTAATCTTACTGCATGAAATTTTTGACTTAAAGGATTTTTTTTTTTCCTTTTGCTTCTAGATCTTTCAAAGAATAGATTTACTGAAATTCCTCCTGATGTCTGGTTGTTTGCACCACTGGAAACTTTAAATTTGTATCATAACTGCATCAAATCCATTCCGGAATCTATAAAAAATCTACAAATGCTTACCTACCTTAACATCAGGTGAGTAATGCTTTTCATTTTTCATCTTTATATAATTCGCCTCATTGGAAAGGTGGCATCCTCCTTCTTTATGATATAAAGTGCCCTTTTGTCCAAATTTGTGCTCTGGTAGTTACAAATTGCTCTGTGTGCCATATGCTTGGTATTTTAGAGCCAGCAGTTCTTGTTGCTTCCTTTATGGAAAGGAACCTACTACATTACAAAATTTCAGTCAATATACTGCAGTAGCTGACATTAAGGAGAGTTTAGGAAGTTTTCTTTGTTTTTAATGTTATGCTGACAGACTTTTTTACTGTTTTTAACAGTAAATGTTAGTAAAGTCAGTCTGTCAGCATCACATTGTACTGTTTTTAACAGTTAGACAGACACAGGTCCGTCATTAGTATCTTGAGCCACAGTAGTTGTGACAAGGTGCAAGATGAGCGGTACCTCTGCATCAGAATAGGGATGTCAGTGCACAGAGCTTTGAGATTGTGAGTTAGAATTTCCTGTAATGCTTGTTCTTGTTTATGGTTGCATTTGCCAGTGGTAGTTACTATTTCTTTTAACATATTTCTCTGTACGTTTTAGCATTAGAAAGTTCAGTTATAGTACATTCTCGTTTATTCAAATGAAATGATGACCTAAACTCTACATGTGTGACGGAGGCTGTGTCTGGTAAGGAATTTATAATGGAGTTTATAGCTTAAATTTAGGTGAAATTGTGGGAAAAAGGTAGAGAATATCTCCTGGAAATAAGACAAAAGTTGTACAATGTGCATCTGAGACTTACCATCAGGCTTAAAGAGAGTATTATAATTTAGCCTTGCTTGTTCATTTTTCTTTTTTTCAAGTCGAAATCTTTTATCAACGTTGCCAAAATACCTGTTTGATCTTCCACTTAAAGTTCTGGTTGTCAGTAATAATAAGCTGGTCTCCATTCCAGAAGAAATAGGAAAGTTGAGAGATCTAATGGAGCTGGTAAGTATAAATATGAACTACTATATTAAGTAAACTGGAACTATAAGGAGTTTATTTACAGTGTGAGAAATATACTAATAACTAATTTTTAAATACAGGAATTCAAAATTAATTCAGTCTTTCATTCAGTGATATCAAATTACAGACAAAATATATGGGAATAAACACAAATCAGCATGTTAGGTTAACTTTAATCTTAAGTTCATAAATAAAATTGCTTTTCAGATTACTTCATTTGAATCCCTGTTAATTTTTTTTTTCTTTACAGTAATCATGGTTTTATTTATTTTTCTTGTATCTTCAGGAATATTTTAGCTGGAGAGTTCAACTCTATTTACTCCATACTCTTAGTAAAAGTTACACCATTCCATCATTGTTGTACTGTTCTGTACTTCTAGTGTCTTATACTCTTCTCTTTGAGAAATTCTATATGCTTTCTTCAGTGTTATGGGACTTCAAGGTGGGATTCACTGCTGTTGTTTACAGAAAGCAAATATTTTTCAGAATTACGGTTATGGTGTTTTTGGCTTATTTTTTCATAAGTGTCACACCAAGAATAGCATGCTTGTTGACAGATTCTGGACATGCCAGAGAATTTCATTCTATTACCTGTATCATACCTCTTTAGAACACAGAACAAGAGGTTTATATAAATTTTTAAAAAGTTGACAACCAAGCCACATGCTAGAAAGATGGTTTTAAGAAAGGCATTCCACCTCTTTATTGAGTCAGAAATAGAAAAGGTTAGATACTGGTTTTTATTTATATCACTGTGATTGTTGATTCCGTATGGACCAAAATTCAACTACTGGCAGAAGTAGCTGTAGTCTGTGCTCATTTAATGTAGCATTGTCACCCTCTAGTGCTTGAATCCAAAAAAGTTGGTGAGCTTGCTATTACACTTAGCAAAATTTTAGTTGCATTGGTTCAAGGGTTTTAAGGAAGGAGAATTTTTATGAAAGAAGCAAAATGTAAATCATTTGCCTGCAGTAACACAAGAAGTTTGTAGCTGACATGGGAAATACACCCAGATCTTCTGTTTCCTGGGGTATAGTTTAAATCTCAAAACCAGTTATTTGTTGCTTTAACCTTTTGAAATGAGTTCCTGAAACGTGAATCACTAATGAAGAAACAGTGAGATCTGCTGTGGTGGTATTTCCCTTTGTGGAAAAAGCAAAGGATTTTTTATTTTTTAAAAATAGTTTGTTTTATAGCAGCTCTGATAGCAGTTTTCCTTTGTTTAATTTCATTTAAAATGTTCAGTTAATTTTTTCATTATCTTTTACCTAGGATGTCAGCTGTAATGAACTTCAGGTTCTTCCTCAGCAAATAGGAAAACTGCAGTCACTCAGAGAATTAAACATAAGAAGAAATAATCTCCATATGTTGCCAGATGGTAAGCTGTTCATCATCTTTTTTTTTTTTTGATGTAGATAAATTAGGTAAAGTGTTAATTAGATACCTTTTTTTTTTTTTTTCCCAATACAGAGTTAGGAGACCTTCCCTTGGTAAAGCTGGATTTTTCTTGTAATAAAATCACAGAAATTCCAATTTGTTACAGAAAGTTACGTCACTTACAAGTAATAGTTTTGGATAACAATCCAATGCAGATACCACCAGCACAGGTTAGTACGAAAACATTCTGCTTTAGTAATTTGCATTAGGATCTTAAGAAAGAGGAAGCTGTTCTAAGTTAATACCAACCAGGTTTTCATTTTTTAGCTGTATTTCTGCTAGTGGGAAATTGTAGGCACAAGCTAATCAGTGTATGAAGTATTTTTGGGGTGCATTTTCAAGAGACATGCTATGTAATTAAATATTTTTTGTTTCCAGATATGCTTAAAGGGTAAAGTACATATATTTAAATTCCTCAGCATTCAGGCATGCCTCAGAATAGATAAAAAACCAGATTCCTTGGATCTTCCGTCGCTGGGTAAACGAATCCCTTCCCAGCCACTCACAGACAGGTGAGTAATGGATTTTTGTTGTTATAGTTCAATGGTATTTTAAAATTATTTTTCTTACCATTTATTATGAAGCAATCCTTGGGGTGTAAGAAAGAATGTATTTATTACAGTTTAATAGATGTAACTTCAATGGTTTGCTTATTCTTTAGAAGTTACAGTATTTACTTTTTAAGGTCATTTTACTGGAGTCTAAATTGGCTCATCCAAATAACTGTGAAAAATTTTGATTTTACTCAGTTAAGATTTGGAAATCAGGGCAAGGGTATGTTTTAAATTTATTTATTGGAAGACTTTATTTATTATTTCCCTAACAGGTATGTCAAAAGAATTAACTTATGTTCTCATAAATATTCTGAATATAGTCTGTTGGATGGAAAGTCTGCCTCCTGAATATGTATTTAGGGAAGCTGTAACTTAAATATCAGTGAAATCCTGAGTATTTTTTGATTGGATTGCTCTTGAGGTCAAAAAGTACAGTATACTTGTTTGGACATACGTACTGTATACCTCTTGAGTAATTTATTAAATGGGAGTGCTCTTGTATTTTCTGTGTTTGGTTGACTTGCCATTAATGACCATATGAAACAATATTCTTTTTGTCTATTTGCCTAAAATGTTGTGTGCTATTTGTGGCACTCATTGGGCTTAAGGCCAAAGGAAAGATTAAAATTATTAGTAAAGCTTACACAGAACATGTTGAACTATCAGATTCAGTCCATGGTCTCAGGCAACCATGCCACTAGGGAATCAGTCCACAGTGTCTGTGGAATGCTTTTAAATGCCTGTAGAAACCGTGGTCTGCAACTGCTACCTGAAAGCCTGTGCTGCTTAAGACCTACTACTAAAATGTATTGCAAAATGAACAAGGTCAAGAGTATTATCACTGTTCATCACCTTTGTAGTAGTGAGAATTGTTTAATTAAACTTTACAGATGATCTTGATTAAAAGCCAGGCTTCAGTGTGCAGTTAGAAAAACACACTCTGCTCGTGTTGATGGCTTTCTGTCTTTAGAGAGCATACATTTGGACAGAATATTACATAGCTGTTAATGCAGGTTTAAACCTGTATGACTGTCTAATAGGGAATATATTTGCTAATAATATAATCCATGCCTGCCATTAGAATTAAAAGAATTGCTTTTAACAGCAATTGCTAAATTCTCCAAAAAATACTTCTGAATGAAATAAAACAATTCTAAAATTGCATAGATGTGGAAAGTATGATATTTATTCTTTACTCCTTTAACTTTTTTGAGACTCTTTTTCTTTCTTAAACTCTTGTAGGTTAAAAATTTGTTCTTTACACATTTGGTGTTGTGCAAAAATTCTGTATTGGCAACTGTAGATGGGTATATAGAATCTATATATTTTAATGGATGTTTATTTTCCTATAGCAAAGTTAAGCTGGTTTCTTTCATTCCTTTTTTTTTTTTTAATTTTTGTTTTATTAAGCAGCATAGAGGACTTTTATCCCAATAAAAATCATGGACCAGACTCTGGCATTGGAAGTGATAATGGGGACAAAAGATTGTCCACAACAGAAGTAAGTATTTTTTTACTGCTGATTTTGTCTAGCTTGTTTTGTAGATTTTTTTTCCTTTTCTCTTTCATCTAATTTAAGAAATATTTAACTAAGTTGCAGTTAACATCCTTTGAAATCCGTATAGATGAGTTTAAACCATTGCTACTAATATAATCCATGCCTGCCATTAGAGTCAAAAAGAATTGCTTTTAACAGCAATAGCTAAATTCTCCAAAAAAAAAAAGGTTGACAATATCAGACATATAAATTATGTATTGTTTTGACTTTTCTGGTTAAGTTTCATTCCTGTCCAAATCTTACACATTTCCAAAACTGAATTCTTATCTAAATAATTGTTTGGATCTTTTCATGTATAATGTGTGTAATTGTGTAATGTGTGTATAATGTGTGTAATTGTGTTGTCCACATGACAAAACTTACTTAATGTTTGCTTTTGTTATTAGTAAAAAGAATATAGTTAGGAAAATTAAAATATATTTTATCTAAACTTAGTAATTAGGGAAACTGTGATGTATGTTAATAAAACCTGAGTTTTGTATATGTTAATAATCTGTTTTCTTGTTTAAATTTTAATAAGAACTTCTGGATGATCTGCTAGGTCTAAAGTCATAAAGATTCTTACAAATTATCTATTTGTAGAAATGTAGATTAAGCAGCTGTAAATAAATGGTGTCAATACTGAATAGTGAGTGCAGTATATATATATATATTTTACTTTTAGAAAGAATCATTGCAAATGCATAATGATTGAACTGAGAACTGTACAACAAGGAATATTACAAGTGTTTAAGTGAATTCTAAATGATGGGAAGTGAAGTTGCGGTTCTTTTTCAGTAGTCTTACTACTTGGAAGCTTTAGATAGGAAAGCACTTAAGTACAGATTTATTAGCCCGCTGACCAGAATTGTACTGGAGCTCTTTGAACAAAATACCGTGTTTCAAAGGAAACTGAAACAATTACTTTAAAAAACAAAAACAGTTGATTTTTTTCTGCCTTGGGAGCCATTCCTCATGATAGGGTCTGTTGTATTTGTGATTTATTAGCAAATCATATAATAATGTGATATATATGCAAGTTCTGTGTTAAATATGACTGTCTTTGCAGCCATCCGATGATGATACAATCAGCCTTCACTCCCAGGTATCGGAATCAACAAGAGAACAGACGTTGAGGAATGACAATCATGTAATGGGAAGTAAACTTGATCCTCAGAAAGGTAATATCTGTTGTGCATCTGTCCTTTTAGGTAACAGAATTGCTTTTTCAAAGGTAATATAATTTAAGAAAACTGCACAAAATTATATCGTGGCATATTGGAATTTTGTTTTTATCATTTCAGAAAGCAATATAATAAAATAATAAATAGAGAAAAGAAGAAAAATATTTCTCTAGATGAAGAAAGGAGACATGATTTAATTGTATTGTCTTTATCTGTCATTTTTCATACGTACTTCTGACTCTGAGGAGTAATGTTTGGTTGATAGAGCTGTTAATATTATCTCTTCTCTTCCTTATCAATCCTCACTAGACCAGGAGGTGTATGATTACATTGATCCAAATGCAGAAGAGGGAGCTGTTCCTGAGCAAGGAGATGTGCAGATCGGACCATTGCTGTCCTATATCAAGGTAGCATAGATTGATTAAAAAATGAACAAACAAAAAACACACACTAATTCAGCAGGCTTTTTCCTCCTCATCTCAAGTCTAATTTTATTTTTCATCCTGTGTAAGGAACGGGGAAAACATCCTGAGAAATCCCAAAAGATAGAACAGAATGAGGACTGGGGAGATGAAAAACGGTAAATCTTTTCAGTCTTTTTTTGGGAAGGGTGGTTTTGCTTTTAAACACCATCAAGGAAAGAAGTCTTTTGTTGAGCAGATTTCTCCTTCTTGGATGAAAAAATGAGCATATTGGAAGAGCTTCTTACTTCTTGTCCAAGCAAGTTTCTGTGTCTTGCTTTGCTGAAGTCAGGCAAGTCACTAATGTTTAATTTTTCAGACTTCAGAAGGAACAGCCGCTGGCTGAAGAAGATGATGAAATCAAGGAAGTGACTGACTTGAGAAAAATAGCAGCTCAGTTACTGCAGCAAGAACAAAAACACAGGTATTAAAAATAATAGTTGACTTGTGTCACAATTATTGTGTTCATTAGCCTGTCTTATACCCAAAAGCTCCTCATTTGGAGAACATTTTTGTCCAGTTGATGAGATGAAGCAATAGACCTGTTCTGTGTTTCTTTTCATAAAATTGCTATGTAGAGTAGCTGTGATGCGCCTTTTATAGAGAGGAAGAGATGAATGTGAAATTCTATTATTATTATTTTTTAATTAAGTACCTTAAGCGTGGTCAGTGCTTATATAAGTAGACTATCGTTGACATTAAAATGACTTTCTCTAAAACCACACAAATTAAGACAACCTTCAAACAGTTTGTGTGCTACTGTTTATTTGTCTTAAACACAAGGTAATTTAGGTGATGCTTCCTCTGTTCAGCCAAGATATGTTTATATACAAGATATGTTTCCTATTAACCGAAGGGGAAACTTGTTCAAATGTAATTCTGTCAAATGACAGCGTGTGTGTGTGTGTGTATAAATAAATATATATATAATTTGAATAGTGCAAATGCATTCTTATGAGCTGCCTGACTTTCATAACTTCATGTTGGCATTTCAACAGAACAACTCTTGAAAATGATAAGTAAAAAAAGAAGACTACTAAAGTAATGCAACAGAAAAAGCTAGCAACTGTCTTAGGAAGAGAAGGAGGAGTATGTAACCTGGAGTTACATAGGAAGCGAGAAGGAAAGGGTAGGAACTCTGTTGTCTCTGGTTCCTTTACCAAGCAGGCACAATACCAGTGAGGTACATCAGAGACAGTAAGCTCTCTGCTGAAAGATGAAAGTGGTAGTAAATTGCCCATTAACTACAGTTAGATCATTACAGTGGTTCACTCTCAACAGTCTTGGCTTCAGCTTCATACTAGCATAAGTACTCTTTTTGTACTCTTGAATTTCTATGCAGAGATTGAGATTCTACGCTGCTGTTTTTAAGATAACTGCAATACACACAAAGCCTTTAAAGAAATTGATACTGTGAAATGCAGAGCTTTACAAATTCGACAGTGTTGTATCATGCTTCAATAGAACAGAAGAAATGTCTTAGGGGGAAAGATGGAGTATGTCTTCCCTGTAACTCCATATAGTGTACTTAAGAATTTGGTGGGAAGGAAAAAAATAAGAATGAAATCATAATGCTAACATGTTTTTTATTAACAAAACTATTAAAAAATGAGGAAGAATTCAGAATTCTTATTAAAAGATAAAAATATTTTTCTTAATTCTGATAGCTATTTATATTGTGTGTGGGTTTTGTCTGGTTAGTTTTAATATTTCTTGGGTATCTAATCATTTGAAATACCAAGCCACTCCTCTTCTGAAGTACTGCAACTTAAATTTTATTTTTGTTATACTTTGTTCTATCTCAACACAGCAATCTTCTTAAAGGTTTTACTTTACATATATAAAGAGCAATCTTGTTAGTCAAATTTTACTTCTTAGTTTAAAGCTTTCTTACATATCTTTAAATATACGGGGACAAAATCACCTCTGAGATAAAACTGTAGTTATTTGCAATTAGTAAAATATAATTTAATCCTGATTTTGAATCCATAGTGTGTGGGTTTATAATTCCTTGCCAGGAGTAATTCTGAATTGTACCAATTGTGCCATTCTGAATTTGTGCAAAATATGTACAGCCTGAGTAAACAGAATTCTCAAAGTGAGCATCATTAAATAATTTCTTACTAATCATATTTCTGTTCATTCAGTGTGTTTTCTTTTAATATTATGCAGTGTTTCTTTTCTTTTTGCTTGCTATGCTAATGACTTCCCTGTCCTTTCCCATCAACCTGTCCTGCTTCCTTCTTCCGTCTGTGGCTTTGATGTACATGAAATATGAATGCAGACGAAGGCCATTAAGCTATAGAACTTCATTCAGTGAAAAACTCTTCCAGAGGACAAGGGCAGCAGGACGTGCATCAAGGTATAAAGTGTTTGTAGAGCTTCAGATTTCCTAAGATAAAATGTGGACGCAAGAAACAGTTTAGGCCATTTTTTTTTTTTTGAACGAAAGCAGAAAAAATGGATCGTCTCAGCCTAAGATTTAGTTACCAAAAATAATTGCAATGCACTTACTTTTATTTGAAATTAAATACTGTTACAGGAAAATTCTTAATTAGACTTTAAATGACTCCAAACTAGAAGATTATTTTCCTGTCCCTTTGGCATGCTTTATCTTCTTTCTTTTTGTTTTGTTTTTAAATGTGTAATAGCTCAAATACAGAGAATCTTTTTTCTTTTAAAACTTCTGGGTTTTAAAGTCATGCAAGTTCTTATTCAGGGGACTTAGTACGTCCATCAGTATGTCATTTGACTGATAATCTGTCCAAATGTTTTTTTAATTGGATTTGATAGTGCGTGAATGAACACAATGGCTGGACTCTTTGCACCATTAGCCCCACATTTAAGGGAACATGATTTCATAATTTAAGCTACTTGAACTTTCATCCTGCCTACTCAATTTTGTACTGTATTTCCTGGAAGAGAGATAGATCTTCACAACTGTGCTTATTTTTTCTTAGCTAAATAAATTATTTTGCCAGAAATTCTGTAGTCTCTAATTTTCTAAATTCAGATTAATTTGATTTACTTTTTCTTCAACTAAAAACCTTAAGTTCCTTGTTCCATAGGAAACTCAGATTTTCTGACTAATAACTGCTAATCTGACCGGTACTGACTTTCCTATCATTATTCTTCAGTTTTGAAGTGGGAAGAGTCAAAAATGATTGTTTGTATTTGTTTTCTTGTTTTACAAAGTATTAAAATGTATTTAAAATCATAGGAAAACTTAGTTTATTATGATCTCAAACATAAATTATATAAATATTTAATAAAAGAAGTTTGGCTGAAGAAGATGTATGTTTGGCATTACTTTGGATAGGTTTAATAACACTTCGTTTAATGATCATGAAAGTCAAATAGCCTTTCTTGCATAGAATAAGTGAATTTACACTACCGTCACTTTGGTGAAAGCATTGTATCAAAGTGCTTAGGTGACTCAAATTTCTAGTTCTTTTAAGCACAGTTTGTCTTAATGGCCATATATTACTACAGTTTGTCTGAATTTCTCATTGCCTTCAGCTAAGGAGATAAGGATAGGTTGAAATTCACTGTAAAAATGACTCTAAACTGGCTGTTTTATGATGTTTGATACATCATATGCTCTGAATATTAATTTTTTGTGAGACTTATTTCTGGCAATAGTGTAATTCTGGAAAGTACATTTTAAATTTGTTTATGAAGACAATATAGGGAGCATATGCTGCTGTCTAAATTACTTAGTTGTTTTACAAGCTTAACTTGTCTTAATGCTATTGAGGTTCACACGGTCAGATTTAAACTGCAAGTGAGATAACAGAGCTCAAAGTTATGACAATATTCAGAAGTCTGAAAATTAATACATCATCTAAAGTTCATTGTTTTACTGTCATATTTTATGATAATGAAATATTAAAAGGTGCCTACTGTATTTTACTGTCTTCCATTGAATTGCTGGTTTGCTTCTTGTTCTTCCTGATTCCTAATAATTTCTCTATATAATTCAGTGTAAACATACTTTGATGTCAGTCCTGCACACTGTGAATTCAGTGTTGAAATGTAATGTTGATACTCCCAATAATTCACCATTAATCATTCCAGTTGCTGTTTAACATGATTCTTAATTGAAAATGTGTTTTCAATTGGTGTGGTATTTTCAACATTTTAAACATTCATAATAAACACCTCATATCACCTTCCTGTGTGTGCACATACATGGTATTTTTTACAGATTAAAAAAAATATAAATTTGAATCTATATTTAAGTTTAAGCTTTTTTTTTTTTTTTACTTATTTGGAGTTAAGGAAAATGGAATTTACACTGGTTCATTAGACTTCACTTAGTTCTTAGCTTGCATTTCCCTACTCTTTTTCTCCGTTTTCCAACTCTCCTTTTTTCCCCTGACTTTCCTTTGCACTGCCAGTCTTTCTTACTCAGCTACCCTCTTACCTTTTTGTAAGACTGATTTCTTGTGCTGAATCTATTGTTTCCTGTCTGCTTTAGTTTGACCATCTTGTCTCTTCTAATTTTAGTGAACAGTGAGGCCTGTTGGTATATATTTAATAAAAAAATATTAAAAATTAAAAACACATAATGAGAGGAGACTTCATTTTGGTTTGGATTATGTGATCAAGTTTTACTTAAAAATCAGAACTTGAAACAATACAAGAGCTGAAAGCTATGTTTCTGATTTGAATGGAAGCAGGATTGGGCTTGGATTTCACATATGTATATATATGCATATGTATTCCAACTTTATAGAAAATGCCACCTTAATCTTCAAACTTTTTTCTACAGGAGAAGTTATACTGTGAAAGTAATATATATTCAAAGAAAAAGATTTAACTACAGAGCTGTTGAATAAATATTTTTTTCTTTATAGGCTTCTTAATCATTCAGCTTCAGTAAGCGCAAGGAACAGGCCAAAGCAGCCAATGGAATCTGAAAAATGGTATTTATCTACTTCATCACAGCTTTCAGTATTTTATTAAATTAGTTCTGATATCATCTTTTGTCCTAATGTTTTTAATAAGATGAATTAATAAGATGAGATAAGTTTTTTAAGATGAATTTCAAATTATACAAATTATCTGTTCCAAACTCAGTTTCGCTATGCATCAGGTAGACAAAAGCCGTAATTGCTGTTGGTTTTGCCAGAGAGTACTGGAGTGGTAGCTGCTGTCTACCGGTCTACAGTTCTCTGCTGTTCGGGTACAGATCAGATAAACTTTCATTGAAATAGAGAAGGGATACTGTGTAAATCTTTCAGAGTGATGCATCCTATTTTGGCTATCTTCTCCCTGTGGTAGCTGCGTTAGCTGCAGTATTAAGGGGTTTGTTGTTTATGCATTCTATCGTTATATGAACAGTACAGCAACTACTACATTTGGAGCTTGACAGTCCTCACTTACAATATTGTTCCTGTTTTTTGGGATTCTGTCACCTGTTGTAGTGCACAGCACTGTAAAGCTTGATATTCCAGAATAATCCAGGAAGGGTTGTATTTACCTTTTGCTGTATCCTTCATGAAATAAATAGTTCTGAGACTTTTTTTCTTGGAAAATAAGCAACAATAACAAACCAATTATGAGCTTGTACGCAAGATAAGATAAAAGTTGCATTTTTTTTCTTGTTTTTATTATGCTGATATATGGGAATTTCAGTCCCTTACTGTGTAAGTAACATATAAAGAGAATATAAAGGCTGCCATATCCCTGAAGAATTTATATTTATAGACCAGGTCAGAGCTAATAGATACATGTGTATCAAGAGCAGAACTAAATTATTTATTGTAGCAGTTCCTGCATTTCTCAGTTGAATAGCGTATCAAGCTAATGGACGTGATTAGACAAACTTCCTATGCCTAACAGCTTTAAAAAATAGATCTATTGTTTTGAGGCAAGCAATGAAGAACAAAGGAAAAAGAATACAAAGTAGCAGAAGCTAAGAAAAGAAGCTTCAATTTCTGTGCCTAGCTGCTTTCTGAATTTCTAGGATTTATCATAATTGCACACAGTGCTGTGTCATTACATTAAATCCCCAGCTGTTAGTCTTGGTGTATAGCTTCTAAGCCTGTTTTCTACCTTAGGTGTCAGAATGTGAATGAAATGGTTGTTGGTACGTTGATAGAAGTGATTTTCACGGAAGGATTTAGTAAGTTTTGAAGTGACACCAAATACAGAATTTTCTGTTTTCCTGAGAACTTTAAATAAGCTCAGGCATTGTTCTTGTTCTAGAGAGTCTGTGAGATTTTGCCATTTCATTTTCCCATGTTAAAATGTTTCTCCTTTTCATTGTTAGTACAAGCCTCTACTTTGCTATAGAGAGCTAACAGTGAAATGAAGGTTTAGTCTTCTAAACACTGAAGAACAGGCATTTTGTTAGCTTTGAACAAATGTTTGGATGGTTGCTTTGAGAAACAAAACAATGGAGGTGCATTTCTGAAGATCAATCCACATTGTTAAGAAAGGGCTATATCTGAATAAAGTATTGAATAAAGTAATGTGGATGACACGTCAGCGTACTGTAAAGGAGACTGAAGAACAATTTGAGGTTCTACTTGCATAGCTCACACTTTAGTCACATTGTGGACACGATTTACAGCTAGCCAAAAGAAATGTCGCAGATAAACTGCATGTTAAGTGATCGCTTTTTTACTATTTTAAAGTAACTTTGATCTTGAAGCACACAACAATGTAGTAATAGAATTTCATAATGTCTTTCATTTTAATTTTTAGTGTCTCAACAGATGAAGTCAATTCTCCAGTGTCTCCATACAGCTGGCAGGTAAGTATCTAAACGTAATGATGAGGCATGATGAGGCATGGATGAGGCATCTGCAGCTTCTCTGGGCAACCTCTTCCAGTGCCTCAACACCCTCTGAGTGAAGAATTTCCTCATCACATCTAATCTAAATAACCCCTCTTGTAGTTTAAAACCATTCCCCCTTGTCCTATCATTACCTGTCTGAGCAAAAAGTTGCCCTCCTTTTTTATAAGCCCTCTGTAAGTATTGAAAAGCTGTAGTGAGGTCACCCCAGAGTCTTCTCTTCAGGCTTAACAGCCTCAGCTCTCTCAGCTCTTCCTCTTAGGAAAGGTGCTCCAGCTCTCTGATCGTCTTTGTGGCCCTCATCTGGACCAGCACTAACAGGTCCAAATCCTTGTTGTGCTGGGGGCACAGATGTGGTTGCAGTACTCCAGGTACTGCAAGTACTCCAAGTACATCACAAAGGTAGCAAGGAACAATCTCCTTTAGCTGTCTCTATCAAAGTGTTGTTATCTTGTAGGTAAGAACACCACACAAGTACTTAAAAAAAAAAAAAAAAATAATTAAAAAAATGATCCTAGTCATCCTTCCTGTACAGTGAATATTCAGATTGAGAAATTAGATGTGCTATTGGCTTCTGATCGGCTCTTTGAAATTATTTATAGTAGCATTAGATGGCTTCCTAACGTACCTATGAATGTTAGGCTCAGTGCAGAAAAGGACGTTATTTTCTTAATTATTTCACAGTTCGTTTTTCCTGTATGAAATATATTTCAGAAGAAAGGAGCTAAGTGATTTCTAGCAGAATCACCATTAAGGTAACACTTCTGTGTCATAAAGTGAAATGGGAGAGGCCAAGAATTTATAACTGTAGTTTATAATAGTTTGTGATAATGTATGCAAGGTGTATTTACCTTTTACGTAAAAGTACTTCTGAACTTTTCTAGCCACTGGAAAATCAGAAGGATTCAATGGATGAGCAGCATTGGCCAGAAATACAGCCAGTGATTTGGCAGAATGAAGAAAGGAGGAGAAGTAAACAAATTAGAAAAGAGTATTTCAAGGTAATGCAGGGTAGGGTAATGGTGGTGACTTTTTTTGTCCTGGGTGCTTTGGGCTCTTTCTCCTTTACAAGTAATGCAAATTTTTGAGAATGCAAGGAATTATGTAACTAAGTCAAAGCAAGGAAATGTCATAGGTCGTACTGCTTGTAATTTTTATAATTAAGCTGTAACTTTATTTGAATCTTTTGAGTTAAATAATATATGTAATGTATTATGTATGAATGTATAATAATAGGGTAATGTGAGAGCACAGGAAAAGAAGGAGAAAGGAGTCCACTGAAGACTGTGTTTATTAGTAATAAGAAAGTAATTTGCAGTTGTTGTCTTGCAAAGCTAGAAACTAATCTTCAGTAATTGGTTCTTTCTCAGTTTGGATCCAGTTTGAGGGATTTTTTTGTAGCCTAAGTCAGCATGGTTATAAGAATGATTTACGCATTTTGGTTCTCTGCATCAGTTTGCATATAAGAGGTTATTTTCTCTGTATTGATTTTGCTGTTTGCAGTGTGTATCATTGGTCACCAGATGTCAGTGTCTGCTTGTTGTAGAACAGATAGGAAGTTAATGCAGCAGCATCAAATAAATTTTTGTAGAATAGAATAATTCTGACCGGTGCTAGGTTGAGTTAAAATTATATTTCAATTGTGAAATTAGCTTTTTGGATATATGCCAAATATCTTTGTGAATTGCATCAGTGATTTCTCATCACTTTAAATCTGTATTTAAATGCTAATACAGACTTCGGTTCTGAGCTTTGTGATAGAAGCAGGTACCTGAAATCATATTTCTTACAACTATAGTCGTGTCTCAGAAGGAAATTAAGCTGCTTTTATCAGTAACAAAAAATACTATCTCACTGAGAGTTCCATTTACAAAGATAAGGCAATAAGCAAATGTCTTGTCTTCCATAGCAAACTTGGAAGGGGGGACATGACAGCAAATTCATATTGTATCCATATTTTTTTGGCAAAAAAGCTCATTGAATAATCATGTCTGTACCACCAGACATTAATGACTATCTTAAGAATACATGCCAAGTTACTGCAACCGGTGTTATTAGAACAGGAATGATTTATTTGGCTCAGTATCCAGATGAATTTGTAGAGAATCTTTATTATACATTCTGTGTATTTTTATTGTGCAATTGTACAGTGCACTAAAAGGGTAAAAAAATGCCTGTGAGAATCAGAACTCCTTTTCTTGTAGAATGCCTTTGAAGCCTATCTGGCAACTCACATTTTTATCGTGCTAAATACGTTAACAAACAAACAAAAAACCTTAACCATCTAAGACAATTTTATCAACCAAAATGCATTGTTGCTGGAGGAGTTTGTAGTTGTTTTGGATCCTAGCTGAAATTCTGGATAGCACATCCACAAGAGAAAAGAAGTTACTCTATGTGCTAGCTTTGGTATGGATAATTATGGTGGAAAAATCTGAACACCGAACTGTCAAAGACCTGTATAAAGGCACAGAAAATTAATATTTGGCTTATGAGTTACCAAATTAGTATGTTCCCTTGTAAATACATAGGAAATATTTAATTTCAAATATACAGGAAATATATCCCAGAAGTACAATGCGCAGTCATGGATGTGTATAACATGTCACTACATGACTCCAGGACTGTGCATTCTGTTCATTGTTCCTTTTTTAACAAAAAAGACATCAGTCAGTAACTCTCGAAAAGACACTTAATTTGTAATGAAAATGAATGACAGTAGGATTCCTAACATTTATCCGTTATTTACCTAAATACTGCTTTTATATATTTCTTGTTTTGATCTCTCCTTCATTCCTACTGACTGTATTTCTCAGGTAATCAGGATGTGGGGCAGAAGCAATGTGCAAAAAATCAGGCAGACCTCTTCTGAAAAAGCAGTAGTCTTAGATAAAAGGATGTGATCAGGCTTTGCAGTTGTAAAGGAAATCTTGCCGTTTTTAACTTTTTTCATTTTTTTTTCATTTTCACTTTGTCAGGTCAATCTAGCCAAGTATAAGCAACCTTAAGAGCTGCTTTTACAGTATGTAACTTTCATGGGTTACACGTTTGTTTTTTTTTCTAACAAAAAATGCATGAGAGGAACAGTTACTCAGGTCTTTCCGCTTGGATCAAGTCTCATATGTAGTCAGTTCACATTATAAGTGTATTTTTGAAGTGTTCTTATTCTCTCAGCATTGTAGTTCTTGAGTAACCTAAGAACTAGATGTTCCTCTACTGTTTTTTTGTGCTCTTTTGATGATTTCTGTAACGTTTTTTTTAACTCAGCAGCTTCACCAGTAATAAGTAACATCTGAGTGATATCAGGCCATTTAGTTTAAATGAAAAACATACTTCCATTTTAAAGTAATAATTGTATGTGTTTTGCAGTATAAGTCTTCCAGAAAGAGTTCAAGTGGAAATGAAAATGATGAGGTAAGAAATGGTAATTGCATAGAATATGTAAGAAAATTGTTTTATTTTTTTATCTTCTATGAACACTTATGAGCCACAGTCATGGAACAGGTCTGTGCGAACAGACTTTGCATTCCAAAGTCATAGTAAAAATATAGCACAATAAATATTATAGCCTATTTGAAAAAAGCCACCAAGACAGTATACTGGGGAAGAGTAGGGTAGTTACTTGCTTCAGTAATAACAAAGTTAATTGAACTATCAAGCAAAGGTAATATAAAAGTAATATTCTATATAAGCAGTGAGCAGTTTCCTTGCTTTACATATTTTTAAATTCAGTTGCTACAAGTTTGTGCCATATTTGATAAATGTTGGATGTCTCATGTATGGTGTTTTTCATAATTTTACATTTTCTTGTTAAATCATTATTTTCATTTTATAATTCCATCTCTTTGGTTTCTTTTTAGCAAGACAGTGATAATACTAATGTGTCCCCACAGTCTCCTGTGTCGTCTGAGGTACAAGTTTGTGGTTTCATTTTTCATTCAAGAAACATTTCTTTGTGCACATTACTTGTGTCACCAGGTTTCCCATGCAGATATAAAGCTGGTAGTTTCCTTTGAAACTGGAGTTATGAATATTTCATCATACTAAAAAGGCAAAAGTAGAATCAGAGATGTATATCATAGCTTATTTTTACCTTTGCAATTATCTGATCTCTCCTGGATTTTTTTTTTTTTTGGACTGTTGTGAAGAAAGATGCATTGTTTTATTTCCATTATTTTTTTTTAATGAAAATGACCAAGATAAATGAAAATTGGTGTATTTTCTAGTTGTCCCTATATGATAGCTGCTTAAAGGATTTCGAGTAAAACTTGTCTTTCAGTGTTCTGTACCTCATCATAAGGAACCCTCATGTACTGACACTGCTTGAGTGGTTTCATCCTTTATGATTGTCTGTCACCTTTGTGATACAGCTTTACAGTTTCATTCATCAGTTGCTTTCCTTTTTAAGGAATTTCCATTTAGTCTCACCGTGATTGCAGTACTCTAGTAAGCTATAAATAAGGCATGCTAAAAATTAATGTTTCTGCCAGATGTCGGAAGGGAACCTAAGAGTGGAGTGAGTGGAACATCTCATAGAAACAATGAAAGTAGTTGAACTAGGGATAACTCATGTACATACCAGATTACTGAGTGCATCTTCCCTTTGTAGATGGTGACATGAGGAAAACATGATTTTCATAATTGGAAGTAAACATTTCTTAGGAAATTCAGTGCAAGGCATTGGGAAAAATAGTTGTATTTGCTTACATCTGGCTTAGAATTCAGTTCACAGAATGTTTTGTTTGAAATGTTTTAGAATAGATGTTAGTTAATCTTAGAATAGATTTTAGTTAATCTGGTGCTGCTTTGTCTTCCTTGGTAAGATAATTTTAGTGAGTTAGTGAGTTTACTTTGATTCCATTTACTTCATAGTATTCCCTTCAAAGCAGTGTTTTACAGTTAAGCGGAAGAGCTTTATTTTAGGAAAGAATAATTTAAATGCTATTTTGATGAAAACAAATGTTAATTATTGTAATAAATGGAAGAAAATTGACTTTCTCTCTTTTAACAGGATTATGAAAGGACAGATAGTAACACTCATGGACCATTTGGTCTCAGACCAAGGTCAGGTAAGCTGCTCTTCTCTAAAATAGCATGAGGGAACAGATATTTATTCCCCAGGATGGAATAGATGATAAGGACAACAGATGCATGAATTGAAATGAATGTGAAGGGAGACCACAGTACAGCATTTCACTCAGTGAACTTAACGTAAGCATAGTACTGGAAAATACATGGTTTGTCAAAGCATATGTCTAATAATTGAAAGTTCCCAAAGCTGCACAGTGATTTTTTTCTTAAATGTCACTAACTTATTTTCTGCATATTTTGTCACTGTCAAAGAACAGGGAAAGAGCATTCAGTTATTTTTGAAACATGGCTGAGGCAAGAGAGCTTCAAGAGAAGTAGGTTTTTTAATTGATCCTATAAAAGGATGCATGGATCAGAGCTTTGAAAGGAGTCATATATATTAGTGCTTTGTGTTGGAGGTATTTTCCAGCCTCAGTGATTCTGTGATTCTATAAGACTGCCATAGCCCTAGAAGACAGTTGTATCAGACTGGATTATCTACATGATGCAGATGGCACCGTCTGGGCCCTCAAGTCATTTGTGACTTGTAAGCAGTTGCATGAAACTTCTGTTCCAGAGATAGTTTAGTTGTATATACCAGGACATACCTAGCAGTGCACGTCTAGAGGTTTCTGAGTTACATACATCCTGGGCTGCAGGAAGATGTAGAATTGAGAGGACCAAGCAGACTTGTTGGACATTTCAGCCCATTTCTTTGTGCAGTAGGAGTCATTGCCAGCTCTCAGCACTAAAACAGCAGGACCCATTTTCCTTAGTTCTAAGAGACTGCTGAAAGGCATTTTTTTTTTTTCTTCGTTAGAACACAAGATCCTTGTCGTTTTTAGATGCTTCCAAAGACATTGTAGGTGAGATACAATTGTATTTTTCTGTGTGCAAAGTACATAGTCTTGTATGTAAGGTTAGAGGAGTGGTTCCACAAGAATGTCTTTAAAATTTGTGATTTTTTTTTGGTTGTTTTATAGATGTCTTGCTAAAATCCAAACTGTTAGAAACAGTAAAGTGTGTTTTAAAGATGGAAGTAGTGATTTTTTTTTTTGCTCAAAAGCATAGGGTAAAATACTTGAGGATACAACGGTATTGCTATGGAGGAATTTGTTTGCAAGGATTTTATAAAATACAATTGTTATTTGAAGGGTTTCCAAGAATGATGAATAGTAAAGCGAATGGTAGCTAGGGCATTTAAGACATGCTTTTTTAATAAGAGCTCTAAACTTTTGAATAAGACATTCCATGTTTTTCAGTCAGTACTTTAATAAGCAATTACTGTGTCTCTGTGTATCACACGGACATACGTACATATATTTAAAAAGTATTCAATTTTAAGCTAGATCAGAAAGTCCTGTTCCTTTCTGTACTTTCCTTAGTCTTTACGCTTGATTAAAAGTAAAACATAATGAAAACACTTTCAAAGCTAGCTTGCAAGATACACTTGCAGAAGTACAAATGGAATCATATACCGTAGATATTTGAATACTGAAGTCTATTATGCCTCTGTTTTCTAGTAACCCAGTTCCACTTAAATAGGATAGTTTGTGCATTTTATTCAAAAAACAAGTTTCATAGACAGCGTCTTTTACATCGCAATACTGAAATATATTTATTCTGTAAAACGCCATAGCTTTTTTTACCCACTGTTATCCCTGGAGTTACTCCTCCCCACCATTACTTAAAAAAATAAATCTGAATTCTGAAAACTAACTTTGCTAATGTTCAATAGCTTTCAGCCGTGCATCTCGCCAAGACTATGGGGCAATGGATCCTGGATTTACAATGAGAAGGAAAATGGAGCATTTAAGGGAAGAAAGGGAACAAATAAGACAACTTCGCAATGTATGTACCATTGTTTACGATGTGGGTGCAGTGTGTTTAGTTTGTACCACAACTCAAACCTTTGTAATAAAAACCTGCAAATCCTTATGGATATACAAAGGTGTCTCTGTAGTGACATTTCTTTCTAAGTAATTTTATCTAACAGGCTCCATTGTTACTACTTTTTTGCTCCAAGCAAAACAGGAACCAGGAACTAAATGTTTTTAGTTTAGGAAAATGAAATGAAAATTAAAGGCTTTTTTTTTTTAGGTTTTTGAAGTTCTTAGGGAGACCATAGGTCTGCTTGTGCGTGCTGCTATTTGACCTGAGATTTGAAGAAAGAGCTGGTCATAGTCTTCTGAATATTCAAATGCTTTTTGAGAGTAGATAGTTGCTACAAATTGCATAATACTGAATAGAATCTAGGTGTCAGAATTCTGGTAAGGTAACTTTTTTCTGCCCTATATAGTTCTGTTCTTAAGATACTTAACAACTGTAGTTCACTAAATCTACCATGAATTATAAATACTGTTATAGCAGCTCTTCTTTCAAGGGCAGTACTAACTTCAAGTGTGTCTTCGGAGGCTGTTTCTGCCCTGTCTGGTCCGCTTCCTGAGCAATTAAAGCTTGTTGCTGGAATGGGATAAAACATATCCTACTTCCTTTCTCTTGCAACACAAGTGTGGGTACTTCTTGGACACCCTTTCCTTAGCTATTTAACTGCTACTTGCATGAACGGCTTTACTTTGGGGTTGTGACTTCATCAGTGGTTGTGTTCCCTCCTCCTAGTAAACTTGATTTCAACCCACAAATTCCTCCCACTAACAGTTGATGAGGAATTTAGCGTAACATTTTGCTCTTAAACTCTGTGCTTTCTTGTGAGTACTGGGTTCATCATAGGGCTTTGAGAGCTCTGTCATGGTAGTTGCTGGCTGAATGTCTGTCAACGTATATGGTTTTTCATTTAAAAAAAAAAAGCAAAGGGAATTATAAGCTCAATGATGCAGATAAAAGTATTGTTGTACTCAGTGAAGTGTGGATTGGTTCCATTTACTTCATGTTAATATTAAAACGCCTTTTTAAAACTGCATGCTTTAAAATACAGTCGATTTAAAGTTAATGATTAGGTAATGTTGAAAGTAACTTTACTTACGGGCTTTTTAACAGAATCTTGAGTCAAGGTTAAAAGTAATTTTGCCAGATGATATTGGAGCAGCATTGATGGATGGAGTAGTTCTTTGCCATTTAGCCAATCACATAAGACCACGCTCTGTTGCCAGCATTCATGTACCATCGCCAGCAGTGGTGAGTCGTTTATTTTACTTTTGTTGCATCTTATGTGAAAATAAGTTTTCAAAGTTCAGTGGTAAAAAATCATGTATCATATTTGCTATACTAACTGGCTACATTCGTCACTTCATTTTTTTTTCAAGAAGCATTAGACAAGGCTCAGTTTAGTTTAGCTATTTTCTTATACTTGAATCTTCATTGAACTTGTTCTAGTTTGTTTAAGCAACTGTTACTGAATTTGCAGAAATATACAGTCCTATACAGTCCTTCACAAATATGTGATGAAAATCTAATATCCTGTCTTTACAGCCTAAACTCAGTATGGCAAAGTGCCGAAGAAATGTTGAAAACTTTCTTGATGCTTGTAAAAAATTGGGTGTTCCACAGGTATGCTAATTGTTTTATTGACTAATATATTCACAGAAAGTATGTCAGTGAATACTGCAGTTGATTTTTTTTTTTTTTTTTCCATGGGGGCAGAAAGGGAGCAATAGTGATTATTACACTAACCAGGGAACTTAAAGGTATAAAAAGAATTTGTCTCCCTGGCCTTCTGGCCTGTGGTGTGAACTTTGAGGAAACTTTGGGTTTACAATTATTTCCCAATAGCACAAATACTGACTTCCCTTTAAAATAAAATATCATCTAAACAAAAGAACTGATGTGAGAGGATGATGTTGCAATATTTAAGTCTTTTGTTTAGCAATTCATTTTGGCGTGAATTTCAGTGTATGCCTAGTAAAAATTAGTTAAATGCAGTTAAAGAAATATATAACCTAACTGTAGTTGTAGCTCACTATTCGTGCTCCTTTTGCCCAACTTCCATACTTTTACCCTTGCCATACGTCTCTGTGCAAGAGGAAAAACTGAAAGACCAAAACATTTCCTGTATATCATGAGACATAAAACTCACCGTATTTCACTGGAACAAGAAAAGTAATTAATGGATTTAAAACCCTGGGTTGCTGCTCTGCCACAGCTTCCATCTTGCATGGAACCACGGGGCTTTCATAAGTTAGGAATGCAGAGATTCATTGGATACCGAGTTCCATATAGCACCATCTAACAGAGGGGAAGAGTATTTAACTTTTGTTGCAAAAGTCTTTTGAAACTGAAAGATGACTTCCTTGGAGAATGATTCATTAGTGAGGGCCAAAGTCTGTCAGCACTTCCGCGAGGTCCCAAGGGGAAAATTAGTAATGTGCTTCCAAAACAGCGAAAGGAAGAAGCAGACCAGCAGTGCCCATCAACCTGATTTTCTTGCTTTACTTTTGTAAAGAATGTCTTTGGTTTTAGGGAATTAGCACAGTACTTATGTGTCTTAGTTTAATATTTTAAGTAAATGTTCTTTTTTTTTTTTTTTGCTAGTTTCTGCATTCAAAATTATTTTTTTTCCACAATTAAACAGTCAGATCTCAGATGTAATTTCTGAGTGTTCTGTTACTGTAGAGAACAACAAGCAAAATTTAAAGTCGAAGACATTTTCTATGCAAATGTGTAACGTATGTGTGACTTCAGATAGAATGCTTTTGCTACGTAGCTTGGAAAAAGTGAATCAAGCTTAATACATGCACTACTTTATTTTACAGGAAAGACTTTGCTTGCCTCATCACATTCTGGAGGAAAGAGGCCTTGTAAAAGTTGGCCTCACAGTTCAAGCTCTGCTTGAATTGCCTACACTGAAAGTATCTCAGCTTTCCTCCATGTAACATGACTTCTTGGAAGCCAGGCAGCTTGCCATTTGATCTGTTGGATTGCTCTGGAACTGTTCAGCTTCCTACATGGGAACATCCAAGCCATCAAAAACTAATATCTGTCCAGATGCTGTAGAGCGCCTTACTCTGAAGTTGGACATGAAAACCTTGGAGTCAGCTGACATTGAAAGACCATAATGATTTTTTGTCTTTTGGATGCACAAAGAGATTTTGGTAGCATCAGGTTCTCTTTCCAGTTCATTTAAGTTAAAACTTGCCATTTATCATCTCAGAGTGTTACAGTTAAATGCTGGATTTCGTTTTCTACATGGAAAATGTTGTTTGAATTAGTTTAGAAGTACAAAACCTAATCCCCCCTTGCTTGAATGATTAAAGTCAATCATTTGATTCAAAGGTAAAACAAAAATGTAGCGATGGTATGATGGTAAAAATACAGTGACTGATAATTGTAATCCACTTTCATTCTTTCAGAAAGCTTTATGTGTGTTCTTTATTTTTTTTTTGCACTCCTGATTGTAACTTAACGCACTTCCAACATTGCCAGTATTTAGTCTGAGTGTATGGTGATTACACAAAACAGTATACAATGGGAAAAAGGACACATTGATTTTTTTTTTCCAGTCTTCTAGGTTGGTGCCAAATATTTTTTTCAGTTGTACTGTAGATTGTTTACATGTGAAGTGCCTGTGTAATTGATAACTCTTAATAGTCTTAAACATTTTTGAAATTTGTTTTAAAATAGATAAAATGGGAATTTTTAAATATTTTAATAGTTTTTTGTAAAATCAATACGTGAAGATTTAAGTAATACTTCACATTTTTGATGTTGGGTGTTTTAAGTTTGTTGCACAATTGATAATTCTGTTGTCTAATAATTAGAAAATACTGTAAATACACTTTATTTATGATATTTAATTTGATAATACCTAATCATTTTTTGGTTTAATGTATTGTTGGATAAACAAAACTGTCTACTTTTCTTTGTTTGAGGCAAACAAATATACATGGTGAGTAAGATGTGAGGACTAGTAATACAGAATAATTTAGGACATTTTGATAAAACTGCCCAAATCTCAGGTTTATGCTGTGACTTTCAGGATTTTATGTAATATTGCTCCTGATTTCACTTTACATTTTTACAACAGGTATATCCATAATTTAGTTGAGAAATCAGTGTTTATCTTCATAGTGTTTACAGGATTTATTGTGTAATTTACGGAATTGTGTGCCATAACACACAGATTAGTTTGTACGAATGTCACTGTGCTGAAACATTACTTTTCTGGGCAAATTTAAAAAAGAAATTCCCACTGTGGTGTTCTTTTTGAAACTTTTGAGTTTATGTATTTGCTTACTTCTACAGAGATTCTTGGTGTTTTGAGAACATTCTGAACCAACGCACAGTTGAGTTCCTTTCCAAACAAGCTGCAAATAATTTCAGTAGTAAAACTATAGTAAAACAGTAGTAAAACTGTTTGAATTAGTTTGTTCTTCATGAATGGGTAGCTCAATTAAAAAAAAAAAAAAGTTTTGACTGTCACAGATTTCCTATTTTAGGCTAAGTTAATTTTAATGAAGGTGTATATTTGCCTAGTGTGTAACAGGATTTGATTCTGTTCTTTCCAATTCGTCAAGAAGCCATTTAAGGTGTCACAGCTCATTGAGAAGCCTTAAAACTGTGTTTAAAGGGTGTAAAACTTAATTTGCAAAGTCCTAGATCTAAATCTTCGTTTTTTTAAATAAAATATGTATGCTCTAGGGAACCTGCTTTGGCAGGGGGGTTGGACCCGATAACCTCTTGAGGTCCCTTCCAACCCCTACAATTCTGTGATTCTGTGTGATTCGGTAATCTATATTGCTTTGACCTTTGAAACATGGTATTTACTGTATCTCTAATTGGGTTTTAAATCATTCACATAATACTTACTTTAAAAATTTAAATTAGTTTTACAAACGGCAATATCTGAAGTCATGCTAAGACTAAAACGAAAAAGTAATATATTAAGCAGGCTTCTTGTTACTGTGTGCTACATTTGAAGAACGCTTTCAAAAGGAGTATTTCATTGTCTTTCAATTCCTTGCTATATGGTATTTGATGGCAATGACAGTGATGAAGTTCTGCTTCAGTATGCTAGCCATAGAATTGATACCTGTAAATTGCCACTTTAAATTATCTAACGTAAACCAATCTACACTACTATTTAATTGCCATTTAAATGTTATCTTAAAGTAACGCTCTTATCCAAACAGAAATAAATTTATGAAGTTATCGTATCACAGTGTAAACATTTAAGAATTCCCTTGATGTAGCATGCCCGATCAGTTATTTAATCTTATCATATTATTTCCTAGGTAACATGAGAACTGGACTTGGAACTAATGTACTCACTTTGAATTGTACCTCTGAAATTGAAAACTATGGAAATAGCATTTTTTTTTTTTTTAACTACTCTAGAATTCTTCCCCACAGGTTTACTAGGACCAGTCTGGCTTTGCTGCTCTTTGGAAATTATTATGGCCTTCTTAATGCTTATGGGAAAGGATATTCATGGTACTTAGAGGATTCCCTTCTTAGTATTGCAAAGGTTAAGGCCTTCCAGTATCCTTAGGAATAGTCTGAGAAAAGGTCTGCTGTGCCTGGATGAATCTTCTCTCATCTTTCTTTAGGTGCTTCTACAAATAATTCTCTAAAGTAATGATATAATTAGCTTTGTGATTTTTAGAAGCAACTGCAGAAGTGATGCTAAAAAAAATAATTTGAAGGTAAAATTTTAATTTTAAAGAAGCGTATGGGAATTGTTGCTGTCCTCCCTGTACAAGAAGTTACCTACTATCTTCTCACTTTTTGACTCCTAGCATCTTATTTTTTGTTTTGTGTACTGATTTAGTGACTTCATGTTATTCATTACTGCATGTGACCTCATCCTCCCTCTTTACTTTTTTAAAGTGACTTTTTAACTCTCTTTAGTAATTCTAGAGTCCCTGCTCCAACAATTAGCACATAAGAGATATTCTGTCCCTATTTAAGAGATATTCTGTTCCTATTTTGTTGAGGATGCAATGTCATTACTTAATGTTTGATGCAGCTAATGGGTTGTTAAAATCAGAGGCCTAATTCTTATCATAGTCCCTCATTTTTTTTCTTTTGATGTGAAGAAAAGATAACATGAAAAGCTTCAGGAAACTCTATTAAGTTTCCTAAATAAGTCTCCTAATAAATTTAAGTTAACTAGGGTGCTTTTGTTATTGTGGATGCTATACAAAGTTACTGCAATAATGTGATATGAACTGTAAATTACTGACAGGGTTTCTGCCCTTGTGTATTTTTTCTATTTTCTATCTTAATGGATGCAGCATCTCGCACATGAATGATCTTTTTTTAAGCAATAATGTCTCAGATATTGTGAGATCTTAGAGCAGTGGCACTGAAATAATTAAAGTGTGGTGACTTCAGACACAGTATCTCAGAAATGCTTCCCATCTATTCTATAACACTGCCAGTCCAGTGTGCTAGTTTGAGTATCGCTGGAGCCCCAGAAACCTGTCTACACACATGTATCTGATGGCCTTCCATAACACAACCAAAAATTAACATTATCATAAAATAGAGGAGCACATTTGAAACTATAAATAACTGACATGAATCGTAGGAATTTCTAGGTAAAATCCTAGCTATAATGGAGTCAGCGTGAATTTTGCCCTTGACTTCAGTAAAAGATTTTACTGTTAGATTATGGAACACCTGAGGTAGAGGCAGTGGTGAAACATGACTTAAACTTGTTTGAAGTGAGCAAAGCTTTAGTGTCAATTTCTTGACAAAAAATAGTGATCTCTGGTTAGCAACGGGAAGCTGCTAATATTACACATTGATTTATATATTTAATACAAATATTCTGATGTGCCATACAGTATTAAGATGGTAGGAAAAATAACTCTTAAGCACTGCTTTCATACTCTGGAATGTATGTCACCTCAAAAAGTTACACGTACCATCAGTTACTTTACTGTGCTAAAACCTTTCTTTAAAATATTTGATAATTTAACGACACTCTTCTCAGATATAAATCTGGCCAAATTAAAAAATTAAAAAATAAATTGAAAAGATACCTATTATCCCTGAAAGCAAATTCCCATGTATCCTCAGTATTGAGGAGAAGGACAAGTTTGCTAATTTAGTTTCCTGCTAATTTTAAAAATTTTAGTACAAAAGGTAACTCTTGTATGTAATGCAGCAGTCTCTGTCTCTGGATAGGTCTGTATACCAATGCAGAAGGCAGGTACTTTAATAATGTACCAAAATATTAGTCAAGTAGTAAGCAAAACCTTATTCAATGTTAAATCAATATATATATATATATCCTGATTGATTTATATATATCCATATATATATTAGTGTCAGGATAGTGGATTTCAATGGAATGCAAAGTAAGCGTGAGTTTTTGAAGGGGTTTTTGCACTTTCTGTGGATTGGAAATGATTTTGTACCGGTAAACAAAATTTCTCTTTTTTTCCTCACAAAGTCAGGCTAATGTCTGTGTTTCTTTTGAGAAGTACATCATATTAAACAGTGACCCTTACAACATAAGAGCTGATGAAATATTTCCAGCTTACAGTTAACACTTTTAAATTATTTTTAAGGAGAAAATGCCAGTATGGCCAGGAATTGGAAACAATATAGTTGTCCAAGGAGAGGTTACTCTGAGTTGCAACATGATTGCAATATGTTAAATTGCTTCAGAAGAAAAAGGTTTTTTTGGAAAGAATTAGTGGAGGAAGAAATGTTTTTGAAACTACTTCGTGTTGAGGGACACTGGGGTCTGACCAGTTCCTGGTCCATCTTTAACTTGGACCTTTCTGTAGAGGTTACAGTAATGAGAAGATTGGCATCTTTGTTTTCCCAGAAAGATTGTTTGATTTTGGATAACTATGCCAGTTCTGCAGGATTCATTGTGTTAATTGTGCAGAGAGCACTATCCATCCCCAAGCACAGGGCAGGGCACCTCGCTGATGCCACGTGCCTTCCCTCTGGCCTTCTAATCAGCCGAGGAGCTACAGCGGGCATGTATGTCAAGGCTTGTCTGGGTGATGCACCTTCTGAAGGCATCATCTCCTTGCTTTGTGCTGCTGCCTCCTTCCCCACTAGCTGACATTCTTTTAAATAGATGGTTGCAATCTGAAAAAAAAAAAATATATAAGGAAAGTGATAATATCTAAGAGTAGTAGAAAAATAGATGTTTGATAATATTTACCTTCTACCAGTAAAGATATGTGAGATGGAGAATGCTTGTTCTAGAAGCCAGACAACTACACTTGCTGAAAACTGCACCATGACTCTAGCAGGTTAGGGTCACTTGTCCTCTTGAATTAATAAAAATGATACAGTTTCCTCTTCAACATGCAGAACATGCTCTGGGATATATGTAATTTAAACATGAGGGAAAGGCCAACTTTTTAATCAGTGATTTTGTCAGATCTTTTCAGTTACCTAATATGAAAGCAAAAAATTATCTTTCTATCAAGAAAGCACCTTCTGCTGATCTTGTTTGTTAAAACAGAATGTGATGAGCTGAATTCCAGTTTAATCTTGCCACTACAGGAGCTCCTGGCTCTGGCTCCCTTCTTTTTTACACAATAAACTGCTGCTTTGCTTTATTTGTCTTCACGTATTTCACATCCTACAATCCTGACATTATATACAGTAAAACTGTAGTTTTATGCTGTATTTGTTCCATTGCTGTTTTTGACTTTTCCAATATGGCAAGCAAAGGGGATTGCTATAAACTACATTATGAATTTCTCTGGAAGGAATAGAAGTTATTGTAAAAATGACATCAGGCATTTCATAGCCAACTACAGTTTTTAAGGACTTAAAATTTTTTTTCCTCATGCATACACATTTTAGAATCCTGATCTTGAAACAGAAAAAACAGCTTCAGTAGGTCTTTACACAACGTGCTTAGTCCCTTACCGAACATTGACGGAAAAGAATGGCTTGAACTGTGACAGCATATTAAATTGTTTTGGGAGACTTTCAGTTGATTTCAGTGAGATCAGAGCTTCCCTCAATAGTTTTGTAAGTGAGTTAAAACATGAAGTCAGTAATTTAAAATGAATTTGAGGCATTAACAAGGATTTCCTCACTTCATTCAAAATTGTGTGAAATAAGGCAAACATGATGCTTATTTCCCAGTTCTAAGGGCAGATTGTGAAATAGCTACAATTTGGAAATAACCACAATGATACTTTTTCTTTTGTTTTTAAATACAAGTGAACTGATGAAATCTTTCCAGAATTGCTGTATTTATTTAGATTTAGTTGTGCCATTCCTGGCATGAGAACTCCCACTGTTCAGTATTCAAACCCTTTCTAGAGCATGTGCAAAACTATGCTTTTTAAATGAAAATGTTAACACATTTGAGTTTACTGAGTTGATGCGATTTGGTAAGCATTGCTGCGACTCTGGGATTTCCTAGTTGCAACAATTAATGTCTGTTGTACCAGCAGGTAATTTTTTGATGCTTGTGAGGGGCTTGTGGAGTCATTGCAAAAGGGTTGGTTAGTGGATTATGTTGGAAATGTGAATACTCTTTTACTATTGTGTAATGCGTAGAACAGGGAAAATGTGATCGCTTTATAGTTATCACTTGGTATTCAGTTATTTTGTTTTATAATTTGTGGTTATAAAACTCATAAAATACAACATAGCCAAATGATCGATATATAAATGTGTGCAGAACATGACAGAAGTAGTTCTGAGGCACAGTTGGAGAGAATCATTTAAAAATAGATGCTTAAATTGTGTATATACTTGTAACATCTATTTGATAGCGCAATTCATTTTGCATTTCATGTTCTTGTAAAGTGCATTTTCCACACTTCTGAAGTTTGTCTACCTGTACAATACTGTATTAAGTCTTTTTTTCAGGACTTCCATTATTGCTGGAGCTTCCAACATGTATATGTTTTTTTCTTTTTTTTTCTTTTTGAAAAAATGTTCCTACTGTTATTTTTTGTAAATAGTTTTTGTATTAAATTTGCATGGATAAAACCCACATTTCCAAAACCAGTGTACATACTATGTGTATAAAATACAAACTGTTTCATAACTCATGTAGTCAATTTATTCAATTTGATTTCACCTCAGTTTTTACATATACTTCAGTTGGTACATATTCATGGTAGATAATGAGAATTTGTATGTCCTTTCAAATGTATATTGCCATTTTGATATGCAATTAGGCAAGTCACTTATCTCTCTAAAGAAATGTTGACTCCTATGCCATGGAAATAGATGATACTTCTACATGTGAAGTATGTTAGATTTTTTGGTTGAACAACAGAAAAATCAATGGTGAGAATAAGCAACGACAAAGACACGTTCACTTGTATCAGCGTATTTATTCATTTGCAAGCTTTTGCTGTCTTACACAACATGAAAGCTACCTGGTGTCTTCTTATAGCACATACGTTTGGCACAACATAGGGTTTTTAAAGTAGGATCTGCTTTCCTTCCACACCCTGGGCTGGAGGTAGTATAATACAGACTACCTTTTGCTTGGTTTGCAGTCATTAATACCAGCGCTAGAGAAACAGAACTGCCAGGTTTTGCCAGTAGCTAGAGTTACTTTATGTAGGTTGAAATATACCATTTAACAAAACTGATTGTTACTTTCAATTTCTTAGTGAAATTCTTCAAATATTTAAACAATGTCGATCTGAATTTAGGTAGTGAAAGATCTTTGAGAGATGTGTTTCCCCTGTGAGACTTTTTGTTCTCTACCTGCACCACCCACTTGTTCTTCATTTGTTGATGAAGCACAATTTGGGACTTTTAAAAGCAGAAATTGAGCAACAGCATTACTAGAAGTGAGCATCCCTCAACAAATGCATCTGGACAGTTGGACCTTTTTTTTTTTTTTTCCCAGTTAGCGCTGAACTGTTTGTGAGGGTTTGTTCCAAGTCTGTTCAGTTTCCAGCTCTAAAGAAAGCTTTACTCTTACAAAAAGACTTTCTGAGTCTACAAGAGGAATGACTGCATGTGCCTCTGTTTCAGGCTGAAACAATGAACCAAGTCCGTCCTTCCTCATCTGCATGAGGAAAGTCACTGTTGAAGAAGGGAAGTGTAAGCAAAATAAAAAAAAAAATAAAGGCAATTTCCACAAGACTTCTTGAGAGGAATTGTGAATTCATGAAGTTTTTCAGTTTAATAAATTTGAATTTATTAGATTTGATCAGGGTGCCACAAACAAGTAAGTTGCTTCATAATTTGGTTATTAGCTGCCTTGGTAAAGGTGTCTGCTGCTGGCAGACTGCATACATTCAAGCTGTGTTTGAGAACTAGTAAATAAGTACATTTTACAGAATGCAGTGCTTTCACCCCTCAGTGATTCTCCAGATTCTCCAGGTAGTTGCTCTTGGTTTCTTACAGGCTCTCCTGACTGCACTTTCCTTTCACACATGGCCACACTCCACTTCTGTTTCCTAAAGCAAAATGCAAAACAACTTATCTTTTCACAGTTGAAATCTGTGTTTCCTACCGTAAACTATCAGATACCTGCAATGTACTCATGGCATTCTTGTTCATACACCTTTTTTTTCCAATTTCTAGAGCTGCTCTTACGCATTGTTTAAGGCTCATTGTTACGGCTGTAGCCTTTTAACTTTTCTGTCTGATTAAGGTAGGTCTACACTGGTGATGGATGTAATTACAGTGCTCCAGGACAGCATTGCTATGCTGGTACTCCTAGACTGCGGAAGCTACTTGAGGGCTTAAAATAAATAAATCAACTCCTCATCCCTGGGTTTACAGAAGTTTACTGTTTCTAAGACTGTATTCAAACACGTTAATCAGTTACTCTGACTACAAACATCGTTCAAATGGCTGTATTCTTTCCAAGAATATTTTTCAAAAGTATAAAGTTTAATGTTGCAATGACTTTAGCACATTAAACCAATTTGCAAAATGTGTATATAATTGTTTGTCTTTTTAATTAGTTATGCCTCATTAGTAATGGGATCTCATACTTAATAATGTTCTAATTATATAGCCAAAGAGTAGATTATAATACAACCAGCTGGTTTTCAGTTATAACACATTGCCTTCAGAACTGAGGGATGCATAACTCAGTGCAATAGCTTACAGCTAACGGTAAGAAGAATTAAACTTTTCCGAAATCCACAAGTGATTGTTAAAGGTTTGACTTTGTATCATCTTACCATAGCTTTCATAACAGTGGAGGAAATGGAACAACTAGATTGTGTACAACTGTAGCTTTTTTTTTTTGCTAATATTTGAATATGACAAACTTATTCTAATATTTGTATTTTTCAGCAACTTAATAAACATCTTCCTAGAGTATCATAATTATGGCTATTGAATTTATTTCATTATCAAAATTCGTTAAAATTTTTGTATATAAAAAAATAAAATGGGTGTCCATGTGATCTTTGGCTCAATAACTGCAAATTGGAGAAATTACAAGTGATTTTGCCAGGTAAAACTAACACAGGTTCTGTGTTAGCTGGTCCTGGAATATCTTTGTTATATACCCATTTCTGATGTGTTGTCCACCAATGAAGAATGACCTCTCCTACTAGAGCCACAGGAAGAGAAATATCTAGGTTGGTAACTAAGAATGCACCTGTGGGATTATATATATGGAACCATATATTGTTGCCACCACCCTAGCGTACAACTGAGAACTTACACTCATGCAGGGGACTGCAGAGCCTACCACTTCTTGTACTCTTAACACCTTTTTGCATTTTGACGCCTTTCCTTCCTGCTTGCACGTGGCATCACATCCCCCTGTTTATGAGAAAGTGTGTTGCAGGTGGGGTTGTCATCGGGCTCACTGCTTGCTGAGTTGAAGGTGCAAACCTTCCAGAGGACCATCTTCTCTCTTACCTTTTTCCTTTCATTGGAAATCAATCGTAAGTTGTCTCATTTAATGACATGCAGCCATTTTTATCTTCCATAAACTGTTAGAGCTATATTACATTTCACACTCTTCAATGTCTCAGAGAGGTTTGTTGGTTTTACTCCTAAGGCACTTACAGGCATCTTTTTGCTCCAAGGTTATTGTTTATTTAAAATTCTTTTGCAGCTTATTTAAAGGAGAACTGATATCTTAAATGTAAACATCAATTACTTTGATATTCCAGATGGGTATGACTTCATAAGCTGAGAAGACGTGGTTCTTTTCAGCCTCCTGCTTTTGATACTTTTCTTCTCTAATCAGAAGAGAAGAAGAAAAAACAAAACAAAACAAAACAAAAAAGCAAGTGATATTCTTCATGTTATAAACTTTCAAGAGCATGAGTTTCTGAAAAGTATTTGTTGAGGGATACCATCCCAAGCTCCATTTATTCTCCAGTCCCAAAGACATTCAAGCAAAAGAAACAGGAATGAAGTCTGAGAACTTGTAGCAGTATCATTTAGAAATGGGTAAGTGGTACTGAATTCAGTCACAAATAATATTTATTTTAAAGCTATTCTGCTTCACTAATTGGTGGGCGATATGTCTAGCTTGCGTGTTCTGCTATGTACTGAAATGTTAAGTTCATTCTGTGTTTTGTCCTGTAAGACATTTATACAATGATGAAACTGAGATACTTCAGCCAACACTGATAATTTTGTGATTTTGGCTTGAGCAACATAAACTTCTGTTTCCTGGGAATATCAGTTAAATGATGATTATATTGTTTCTGGTGAAATGGCAGGGCAATTATCAAACTATTTCCTTCCTTTTGTCTTTGCAAACTAAGGATTGCAAAAGAAGAGATTTAGTAGGTAAAATCACTATTCTTGGATTCCTCCCTGTCGTCTCTTCTCCCCTTAACTCCCCCAATTACTCAAGCCTCATTTGTTACTCAATATTCTTGCTGTTCTGTGTGCATTTCCATGCTTTGTGCTTTCCTGTATACCCGTTATTGTAGTATTGCCTGTATGTGGCATCATCAGGCCTTACTTGTGCATTTGGGGACTTCAGAATCCCTCTACCAATTTTTAGTTTTTGCTAGTGACTTAGAAAAAGCTTTTAACATACAGGCTCAGTTTGACAAGGGCTCTTTTGTGTTACTTGTATTAACATTTTGTTTGATGTTCCTTCATTGTGAATTTGATTGTTCCGTTTGATACATTAATTGAAATGGCAAGCCTTGTTGTATTTAGAGCAAAGTACTTGATTCTTTCAGCATTTACATGCCCTGAAACTAGTGTTCCATTTCATTTGTTTAGAACACTAGGCCTTTCAGATATCAATGAGAACAAAACATGAAATTCTGCTTTAACTAAAACCAAACTCAGAGCTGCTGCAGTCTCTTTAGAAGGCCAACCACAACAGATCTTATCACTTCTAGCTGTTCCCGTAGGTACAGATGGAGAAAGAAACCTTTCTCAAGGCTGCTTTTCTCACTTGGACTTTTAAATAAACCAAGAAAGCATTATGTCCAGAAAGTTAAATTTAGTGTCTCTTAACTGGATTTTTGTCTAAATTGACTGGTTGCTCTTAGCATAGAAACTGCTAAAAATATGCAGATATTTTTAACTTTTTGATGGTCTATGTGTTTGGCTATTGTAACTTGCATTTCCCTTTGATCACTTCTGAGTACAGGATGTGTTCTTCTTACAGAGATTGAGCCCCATGCGTCTGTTGTAAAGTTCTGCTTCGGCACTCTGACCTCCAGGAGTACAGAGCATTCTGCTCTTTGTCAGCTTCATCATGTCTATACCAAACACCCTTATCTGACAACACTGAAGTTATTACCTCTTGCAAGTGTATAAACTTGAAAAACAAGCAGTGGAGGTGAAAACAAAATGCAGTTAAAAATATGCATCCAGATAGGGGGCAGGGCCACCTAAAGGGGTTTTGGTTCTCCATTACCTGTCAGTAGTGTCTCCAGGTGTCACTCCAGCTGCAACATCCCTGCACCTGACCCCTAATGTAGACGAGCTCCATACCTGCCTCCCCTATAACCCTTGTCTCAATGAAGTCTAGGGCTAAATTCTGTCTTATTTTGCCTGGACTTTCTCAGGTCCCTTCCAGCCTCAGCTTTCTGGTCGGGCTGGTAGGCACCTGCTCACATTGAAGCTGTGATCATCCTTCTGCTCTGCAACAGCCGCAGTTTTGCTGCCTGTCTGCCTGCCCTGTAGGCTCTTCAGGATGCTTCCTCTGGAAGCCACCATACGTTAAGCAGCTGTGGAGGGTGGTTTGTACCAAATCCAGTTAATTTATTAGGGAATTGGATGGGGAGCACCCATGCATTCCTTGTCAGTTGACAGAACAGAGGGTGGGATGTTTTTCAACAAGTGAGCATGCTCTGACATTTCCAACACAAACAGCTGGACTGACGTCAAAATGTACGTTTATTGCTAGTTAATTTGTCATGTGTGCTGTGATTTTGATGGAACAAATGAGTCCAAATGCATTCTTGTCTTGCTCTGCACTACACTGTTTAGTTTAGCTCATGGTCTTGAGTGTGAAGTTCATGCTAGACGGTCCTTTGGAAGGCACCCACAAAAAGTGTAATTTAATAGAAGTAGGGTGGGTCTCTCCTCTCTCCTCCCTCTTTTCCTTCAGGAAGAAGACAGTGGCTAACTCATTGTTCTTTTCAGCAGTCCATCCTGGCTGGGAGGAATTCCTGACCTCTGATGGATATTTTCTGTCCCAGACATTCACAAAGACAAAACCCTAAAAGTACAGAATCATAGAATATCCCAAGTTGGAAGGGACCCATAAGGATCAAGTCCAACTCCTACGGGAAAGTTTTTTCTAGGCTTGAAATTCTCAAAATATAAAATGGAGCCAATGAGAGACAGATGATCTGGGCTGGAAGATCAGCCAAGGCAGCTTGCCTTGTGAGCTATGGTTCATTTACTTTCTCTGCAGCAAGCTCGTCGTTGTTCTGGGCAGTTCCCTTTCCCCTGCCTCCAGCCCCTTCTGCTTTCCCCCAGCACTCCCACAACCACTCCAGTATCCCCAGTGCTCTTCCCTTTCCTGTGACCAGCCTGAGCTAAGACAGGGTGGGCACAGGGCTGAGCCAGCAGCTCTTGGCCCAGCAGAGCCAGCAGTAACCTCTGTCCAATGCTACCTGCAGTTATAGGCACTATGCTGCAGTTATAATGTTCTGGAGAAATGAGGGCATGGCCTTTTCGGTGGCTGAATGCCCCTTGGGATCTTTCCTACTTCTGCATCGTACCTTTATTATCCTTTGTAGAAGTTACCAATGTGAAATACCTTCACTGATATTTCTAGGCTCTGGTAGAGCAGAAGAAAAATGTTTTTGTTTTCTCTCCTGTGGTGGGAGTGGTCAGTAAGGGGAATGTTTGTATTACTGAGCTGCTGAGTGCGAGTGACGGTCGGGCATCCTGTTCCTGACAATATATGGGTTTTCTTCAAGTCCTATTTAAATTTATAATTAACTGTATCATATAATGTTTCAGGCTGAGCCAATGCATGACTGGAGGGACTTACTGGGAACTATGACTTCATTAAGAAAGCATCAGAGCATGCCTGTGCTCCTGTGGCATGGCCCCAGGGGCTCTGCAGGGACAGGTGGTGCAAGACTGGGAGATGCTTCAGAAGTCAACTCGTCAAAGTTAATGGTTATAATGAGATTAAAAGTGCATTGTAAAGTTGCTGCTTGGTCAATGTGAGTGGAATTTAGAAGACCATAACTTATTTTTAGAAGAATACACACTGCTGCACTTACAGGTTTAAGAAATGTCTTTTACAAAAGTAGATAAACTAGCAAGGCACTTTCATTGAAATAAATACTTTTCCTCCTTTTAAGAGTAATCCTCTCCCCACAGCTAAAATCCATCTTACAAGTGGCAATTGATTAACCTGTTGATGAAAGACTGTTATTAATATATTTCTTAATGTCTGTTGAAACATTTATTTTTTACAGCTCATTATAGCATTACTTAGGTATTACTCAAATGTACCAAGTCATATCTTAAGTCAGGGTAAGCCTGACAGAGCATAACACCAGTGAAAGCAGGAAAAGGGAAGAAATAGGAAACAGCATGATGATCTTTGGGCTTAATCCGTCACACCCACAAGGATTTCTGCATTTCTCAAGCATTAGGCTTAAGATATTAGGTGTTACCTAAGGTGATAGCTAATATTTTTGTGTGCAATGTGCCTAAACAGTCTTTAAAGTAGTTGAGCCCTACCTGTAAGGTGAAACTGTGGCAAATGCCAGTTGCCTCCTAATAATAATTGATCTGATATTAAGCTATCTAAGGGTTTAGTTTGGAAGGCAACATTGCCTTTTAACAGTGACCGAGCATGAGAAATGCTATAGCAGAACTTCATTTTTATTTTTAATAAGAAACGTGCTTTTCCTCATTTTGTTTGT